CTCCTACATGTAGGCTGGGCAGCCTACCCTCCTTCCCCTCACGTGTGCCCTAGTGGCAAACAGGGTTTCCAGGAATGCAGGGTTCTAGAGTCTAAGCCCGCCCTGAAGGTGTGGAGATGACCCGGCAGGGGTGGAGGAGGCTGATCCCCGAGACTGATCGTGCTGCTCTCTCCGGCCTCAGTATCCCATCTGCACAGGAAGCGACTGCCCGAAGAGACCTCTGTCTCAGGGCACCTGCAATGGACACGCACCCCCCGGGGTCCCGGTTTCGTTCCTAGCGCCTGGACACACGGCTCAGGGCCCCGCACACCCCCAGGTCGACGCGCTCCTATCGGCCTCCATGGACCCTCGGACAAGACGCTGCCCTAGTCGGGCGTGCAGACAATAGCCGCCTCCGGCCGGCTGCTCCTCACAACAAAAGCGGATCCTCCAGGGCAAGCCTGCGCCGCCCTCCGCCACCAGGTCCCAGTCGGGCCGTCAGGACGGCAACTCCCTCCGCCCCCACCAAGTTTCAGCCAACCTGTCTGAGTTCGGCCGGCATGGGGCCGGGGCTCCGTGCGGCACAGGTCCGGGCTCGGCTCTGGTACTTCGGCCGCTCAGGCTCTGCGAACTCGCTCCCCGCGGGGGCGGATCCGGCGGCGGTCGCCCTCGAGCAGCCAATTGAGCGGGGCCGCGCCCAAGCAGGGCGGGACGCAGACCGTCCTCCCTCCCCCCACAGGCCGTGGGGCGGAGCTCTGCAGCCTGGGCAGGGGCAGGGGCGGGGGCGGGGCATGGGCAGGGGCGGGGGCAGGGGCAGGGCCCACACACTCACTGCCCCAGAGGGTGGCACTGTCTTGGTTCCTCACCCCTGATCCCCATAGGTGACAGGTTCTCATCAAGTAACTGCCCAAGTTCTCCTTGTTCAGTTTGCCTCCAGTAAATGGGCACCTATGCCCCTCCACCCACACCCACCTACTGTGGAGCAGGGTCAATAGTTCCCCTACTCTGATAGGCAGAACACTGTGGGGGTCTCTGGTTCCCTGGTCACCACTGGCCTATCCTGCTGTGAAATGGTAGATGGTAGACAGTAGTCAAGACACCACCAGCACTGGGGGATCCTGCCTTTGTGATTTTCCCAGATTCAGACCCTAACCCCTGCTTGGGCCACACAAGGAAACTTCCCACATACAGCTCACTGGTGATCTGGCCAAAGGCCCCAGAGGGGATCCACTTGGAGTTTTAGGTTTTCCCCAACAAGACACAGAAGCCCACTGCTCTGGAGCAGATTCCAACCCACTGGACAGAGTAGAACTGCTCCTTGGTTTCTGAGACTATAAATCTTAATGGAAGAGACTGCCTCATCTTTTTCCCTTGAAGGAAGCAGCTTGGGTACTTGAAGCACTGATTAGGTGGCTAGCAGCCCAATGCTTAACCCACTGAATAGGAGTTAGAGAATGTAGGAAGAATGTTGAATGACTTCGGACCAGCTACATAATCTTTTGGGTCTTGGAGCCTGGACTTGCGCCGCTGACCTCATCCTGTCCTCCACACCTTTGTTCTACTGGAAATGGTGGTCAGGGATATGAAAGTGAGGAAAAGGGATCACAGTCGGGTTTCTCCGACCAGGGTACACCCCAACAGTCTGACCTCAACATGTATGGGGGGAAGAGGGGGAGTCTGATTCTGCTGTGGACAGAGTTACCCTCTTGGGTTGTTATTGTTGTTGTTGAGTGCCATTAAGTCAACTCTTAACTCACAGCAACCCTGTAATGGGATTCCAAGGAGCAGCTGGTAGATTTGAACCTCGGACCTTGCAGCTCGCAGTCCAGTGCTTATCCTACAGCACCACACCAAGACTTCTGGGTTGTAGTTGTTAAGTGCCGTAGAGTCTGTTCTGACTCATAGGGACCCTGTACAGGGTTTCCGAGGCTGTAAATCTTTACAGGAACAGAAAGCCTCATCTTTCTCCCATGGAACAGTTGGTAGTTTCGAACTGCTGACCTTGCGGTTCGCAGCCCAATTTGTAAGCTGTACCCCCAAAAGGCAAGCAAGTGGCTCCTGCAGCATGAACAAGGAAACTGAGGCCTGAGGAAGGCAGAGCTGGGCCAGCCCAGCCTGGGCACCTAAAGCCTGGGTTTCCTGCTTTATAACTGCTTGTCCCCAAATGCCATTCAGAAAACCAAGCCTCCACTGGGCCCACTCTGCTGCCATGACTGTTATGCACACCAGCCACAAAACACACTGCGTGCTCACTGCCCTATGAGCCTATCTCCCTGCCTGCACAGGCTAGGTTGCTTTGAATTCTGAGGAAGCACTTGAGGCAGGGAGTGGGACTGGACCACTGTCACAAAGGATGCAGTTCTGATATTTAAGTGGGAACCATTTTTATCTTCTCCCAAATTTCACCAGCTGCTAGTGCTCTGGCCACACACCCACCTTGGATAAAGTGAGTTCCACAGCCCAGCCCAGGCCCCTAATGGTACCCTTATGCTCCAGTCGGACTGTCTTTCTACCAGAGGGTAAAGGGTAGGCAGCCAGGACTGTGGAACAGATCAGGGAATACAGCACCAGCAACTCCTGGCTCTCAACGCCCCAGCCTCAGTCCCTGGCTGCTCCCTCCAGCCTCTCAAACCGTGGCCCCTAGCTGCTCAGCCTGGCTCCAGCTGCTGCCTGCCTACTGACCCTGAAGTGTCTCAAACCTCAGGTCTCGGTCCTGAGCCCCAGTTTTTGGCAGTCCAGTCTGTGGCTTAGCATCTTCTGCTGAGGTTAATATGGGCAGTCGGTTTGGTATTGAGGTTATGGGGCCTGGTCAGTCCTAGTGTTTCCTGAAGAGGCCAGGCCAAAGTGGCCCACCTCCTCTAGTGTCTCCAGCAGCCCAGTAAGTCCAGCTGGAGTCCTGGGAACAACACATGCTGATTCCAGCCTAAGAAAATCAGTTCTTCCCAAGAGACAGAACACTGAGGCCAACAAGGAGGAGGTCTACAGCCCTCAAGAGGTCAGGCAACTCCAGGCTGTGGGGACATCTTCCCAGTCAGGACACTGACCCTTTACAGCACCATTTGCAAGCTGGAGGCTGTAGAGTGGAGAACGGAGCACCTAGGGTCCCCAAGGGATAATCTTGGAGTCACTGGCTATCACTATACTCAGGTGGCCCAGCTGGACTGTCCCTTCCCCTGTTGAGTGCCTGAAGTCTGGGAGACAGCAGAGTGGCCTATGCCCCACTCCAGCCTCCTAAGGACAGATTCTGTGCCTCTCCCACCTCCTGAGATCGCTCAACAGGGTGGGGTTTGGGAAAGATCACTTCCAGTTAAGGTCTGGGCAGTCAGCGGGACTGAGTCCTTGGGAAACTGATACTAAGGGAAGCAACGGGCATTTATTAAGTTCCAACCATACGCACTTTACGGGGATCTCGTGAATGGATGTTAAGAACCATCAACCAATCACTAAACAGATGAGGTTACTGAGGGTCAGGGAGAGTCACTTGCCCCATGTTCCCCAATGTGACACAGGCTATTGCTTCTAAGGCTGACATCTCCCTGCCCCCATCTTCTCTCTAGCCACAGAGGGCCCAGGCTGCTGCATGCCACCAGCATAGGCCCCAGGTTTGCATGGCTAGCCAGCAGTGTGTTTTTTTGCAGTTAGGAAAGTGCAGGTGGTGAGGCTATCCCGGGAAGAAGCCCACACAGCTGCCTGGTTTAGGAGGGCAACACTTTTGCCTGCTGTGCAATGAGCTGAGCCAAGGAAGCTGAGGAACCTGCTGGGAGGCCCCTCGATAGTCATCCACAAGGAGCCATACGGAGACACCACCCCCAGACGGCTTCCTTTCAGTTCTCTGCAATGGGTGGTAAAAAAGGATGGCAGCATACCAGTAGGGTAAGCCACCCTGACCAGTACTACCCTTGTCCCAGGAATCCATCTCCTGACGGAATAATAAAAACAACTCAGACTCAAATCCATTGGTGCTGAGTCAATTCCATCTCATAGTGAGCCCACTGACCATCTTTCCAGGATCAGACAGCCTCATCTCTCTCCTGCAGAGTGGCTGGTGGGTTTTGTACCACCGACCTTGTAGTTAGCAGCCCAATGCTTACCCATGGGGTCACCAGAGCTCCTTAGAGTACTCATAGGAAACAGTAAGTATCCCAAACACCAGGCCCCTGGCATTTCCTCAATCTACTTTCATCACTCCGGGAGCCAGGTTGAGGTACTGAGGTACAGTGGATATGATGGGTTGCGTCCAAGAGTACACCTCAAGGGCAGAGCTCTGAGGGCCCAGCCCCAGAGCAGCCAGCTTCCCACCACCTGGGTTTTCAGCAGGACCCTGAGCCCAAGTCCTTCTCGAAGCTACTGACAGATTCTGTCTACTTGCTCCAGCCTTCCCCTGATGCATGATGAAGGAGAATACCATGGCAGGGAGACTCTGGGACAAGCAAAACCCTCAATCCCTATGCTGACCACTGAACTACCCAAACTTCTTCCTGTTGTTGTTAAGTGCTGTCGAGTCAGTTCCAAACCATAGTGACCCTATATAGGGTTTTCGAGGAGTGACTGGTGAGCTTGAACTGCCAACCTGAACTGCCAATTAGTTCAAACTGACTTTGCAGTCCAGCATGTTAACCCACAGCGCCATACCAGGATTCTGAACTACCCAAACGAGACGCTACTCAACTGTTTGGACCCTGAGGGCTCCCTGAAATGAGGGGCGCCATTCTGATGGTCAGGTCCCTTCCTCACATGCTGCCCCGCACACTCACAGGGGACTTCCAAGCCCTGCACAACAAACACCCGTAGGCATTCACTTCCCTCCCCTTCCCTTCAACCCTATTATTTATACTCATAACGAGCCTTCATAGGATTTCTGAGGTGGTTCTGAACCACTGACCTTGCAGTTAGCAGTCCAGTGCTTATCCTACAGCGCCACACCAGCCCATAGCGGTCTTAGAATAAGTCATGCTTGTCTGGCTTGTGGTCCACTAGGGCCCCTTGATTATTTCCCCTTTTCCAAGTCACTGGGCTGTTACCTGCAGGACCAGCTGTTGCCAGGCCATCGGCAAGGGCTGCCCACAGCCTATGCCACCACTGCCCATCCCGGGCTGTTGGGCACGCTCCAGCTGCAAAGCCACATGACGCCGCTCCTGCTCCAGTGCCCGCGTCAGCCTCTCAAAGCGTGCCTCTTGCTCCTTCACTGAGGCCAGGATGCTGGCTGCTGACTGCACGTTGCAGTCCTCCATGACTAGGGTGCCCGCCTTCCAGCTGTAGACAAAGCAGAGATAGGTTGGGCGGGGCTGGGCGGAGGCCTGGTGAGGCCATCATGGGAACCTCTCCTTTGTTCCCTTCCCCAACACAGGACTCACTCCCCAAGCAGAACATCCAGCTCTCCAAAGGGAAGCTACATTGATTGAATTCTAAATGAAAAGCCATTAATCTGAGGCTGACCAGAAGCTACAGGCTCACTCCCCACTCTGACCTGGACTCTTCTACTTCCTGCCAGACCCAATGAACAATCTACTGAGGAGGCAGTAGGGAGAGCAGGCAAGACCAAGTACTTACTACCTCACAGGCCCTCAGCTGTGCCAAGCACATGCCAACTCACCCACCTCACAGAGGCGGGACCAGAGGCCCTGAGAGAGGAGTGATTTGTTCATTCATAGGCATACAGTTGACGCAGCTGGAGGCACAGGGGGTGAGCAGCCAGCTGTTCATAGGTGCCCTCATGCCCAGGACACAGGGCATGGAAATGCTGGCAGGCCCTGCCATCCTCCTAAGAGGAAGCAAGCTCAGGTCTTCTGGGCTGTGGCCCAGTACTGGGGCTCCAGAGCCCCACGGGGAGGTTAGAGGGCAGGGGTGGCCCCAGAGACATGCCAGCACTTTCATTCCAGCTGGCTTCCTGGCTTCCCAACATGTTTGTTTTTCACGGGCAAGAAGGATCAAGATCCAAGCAGCAATTAGTGGCCGTGGATACTAAAGCCTAGGAGGGCGGGGGAGGGGGACCACAGAGCTACACAGACGGGCACTCACCCTGTGTGAGGCACAGAGCCAGGGCTGCTCAGGGTCTCCTCCCAGCCCCATCCCACAATAGCACTGAGGTATACTCAACTGGACCCTTCACCCCAGCAGACGTGGGGACTGGGCTTCAGGCGGGGCAAGGGGCCTTGCACATGCTAAATGGATGCACAACATGGCTGGGCTCTGCAGCTGGGAGAACAAAGTCTCAGCAGAGGAAGGAGCAATGCTGAACTCAGGAACACCAATAACTGTTGGGCCAGGTACATGTGCAGAGACATGGGTGCAGCTCAGAGGTGATGGGAAACCCAATACGAAGTCCTGACCCACTGTGACAGCTGGGGAAAACCAAGGCCCAGAGGGGGGCCAGGGGACACCCAGAGGCTGTGTTCCATTTCCTCAGGACCTGTCACACAAACAGTCGATATGACCTTTCCCAGAAGGTAGTGTTAGCAGAGGAGCAGTTGTTAAGTCAGCACAGTAGTGGGGGCTGCAAGAGGGGAGCTAGGGAAGTTCCAACGGGGTGGAAGGGCAACCTGGACCCATTACAGTCACAGCCGGAAACCCACCACCGCCCATGCACACATGTGCCAACACTAATACGGGCTCATCCCAGGGCAGAGACTCTGCTTTGTGTGCTTATGGATCGATCCTCGTGGCAAGGTCCGAGGCGGATATGGAAGAGCCTTCGTTTATGGGAGGGCAGCTGGAGAAGGGATCGGGGTAGGTAGCAAGAGTCACCAGGGGCCTTCAGTCTAGTCTTGTTTGCAACATCAGCCATCCTCTATGGAGCCTTGGACCCAAACCCCCAAAAAAACAAAGCAAACCCACTGCTACTGAGTCAATCCTGACTCTTAGCAAACCTACAGGACAGAGCAGAATTACTCCCTAGGGTTTTCAAGATTAGAAATCTTTATGGGAGCAGACTGCTTCATCTTTTCCCTGTAGAGAGGCTGGTGGGTTTGAACCTCTGACCTTGTAGTTAGCAGCCCAATGCTTAATTCACTGTGCCATCAGGGTTCGTATTTGGAACCAAGGGGTGGCGTGTATTGGGAAGCTGCCCTAGAGCCTGTGTGGTTGTGGCCAGGCTGCATAAAGTGGGGGAAGGTGAGTCTGAGGTGCTGGCCTCACACAGAGGAGGAGGTTCCCTCAGGGTCCACCTGCATGCACCATGGCTCTCCACCCCCAGCAGACCCCAGGTATAACAAGTGCTGGGGCAGCCCTCCCAGCATGTCCACCCACCTCTAGATCCAAGGAGACTCACCCTAAAGGAGTACTCAGGAGGGGATCTATAAAATCCTCAAGATTTTAGAGGTCACAGTAAGAAGGTGACCAACGCTTCCTGCCTCCCCAATTGATATTTCCATTGTCCAATCTGGCTCATTTGGAGCAAAATGACTGTGTCTCCTTAGCAGCATCCCAAACGCCAGCCAGGCAACCCACCACTTACAACCTCACTAGGCCAAAGGGTGCACCCCTCTGGCCACAGAGTTCGAGGTGCTGAGTCCAGAGGTGCCAACTATGTCATCTCAGTCAGGCATTCAGTAGGCAGGCTACCCTGGCATGAGGCTCGACAGCTAGGCAATTAGAGGGCAAGGCCCAGACTCACTTCCTTCCCACAGAGTGGCCTCCCTGGGGTCCATAGCACCGTGCAGGAGGACACACGGGTATAGGGTATCCCAGGATAGCACCCCAGAGGGCAGCTTTTCTGATCACAACTCAAAAGTATCATTTTTAATTTTAAAGCAAATAGGAGGGGGCTTCTAAAAGTTCGTGGAAGAACAGAATGAAAAGATCATGGAATTTTATTGAAGCCCCCTTATGTGTGATGATATGACACAGAATACAAAGTATGCTGGAATTTTAGGATCCTCCAGGGGACTTCAGAGCCATTCTCCCCAGCTATGGTTTGGGGTAGAGCCACCCAGTCCTGGCTGGAAGTGGGCACTAGACCTGCTGCTTTGTCACAAGAGAGCTTTGGAGGTCAGCTGAGGGGCCTCAGGTGACCTCACTTTCCTCTCTGGCCTCCTATCTACCTGAGAAAGCTTGCTGCTGCCTGCTGGGCAACCCCTGAGGACCACCAACCAAAGCCTCAGTCACCAGCTCACACCATCCTTGAAGGATCTCATCCTAATGCTTCTTCCCTGGAGGAATTCTTTTAGCCATAAAACAACAGAAATCTCTTTTTTTGGGAGCATGACATCATTTCATGAAGACTCAGCAGCTTCGATTGCATGAGAGTGGAGCCCTCGCCACTTGGGACACAGAGTGAAGGCCTCTGACCATGTGACAAGTCAGAGAAAACCACCCTCAGTGTTGGTGATTAACCAACCAGATGGCTTTGGTGCTCCCTTCATTAAAATATGCCTTCCGTAGAGGAGTTTAGAAGTGGTGAGAATATAGAAGATTCTGCCAGGTAGCAAACATCAGCTGTCTACAGGGTGTCAGCTGTAGAAGTGGACAATATTACCTCAAAAGAGTCAGGGGTAGAGCCTGTGAAGGGTGTGATGGTGGCCTAGACTCAGGGGTCCATGGCACAAGTGGGCACCACCTGGAACTGTCATCACTACAACATACAGTCTTTGGACATCCTGCCCAGCTCTGTCCCCTCTACCCCAAATGATCTCCACCACTTGCTCTATGAGGACTGCTGGGCTGATCTCACACAAAGAAATCAATTACCCAGACCTCTGGATAAGCCACCATTGGCTTGTGCTTGAGCAGCCTTTCAAGGCTTCTTGCTTATTACCTAGAACCCAATAGCTGGATTGATACAGTGGCTGCAACAATGGGCTCAAACATAGCAAAGATGGCGAAGATGGTGCAAGACCAGGCAGTGTTTCATTTGGTTGTACAAAAAGCCACTATGAGTTGGAAGCAACTTGACAGCACCTAACAACAACAAGGGCAGAGGCAGAATCTACATGGTCCCCCATGATTCCATCTCTGTCTCCCAGGTAACAGTCCCCTAGGTTTTGCTGGCCGCATAGCTGCTCAAGAAAAAAACCCATTCAGGAAGCATCCTGAAGGTCAGAGGCATCCCCTGAGCTGTCCACATTCCTCCTTCCCATTGACTGGAATGTGGTGGGTAGCTGGACAGTTGGTAGGCACTTGCTGTGGCAGGATGCATGGGCTGCTGAAGTTCAAGCAGCCACACGGGGACACAAGGAGATTTTGAAAGAGAAATTAGGCAGCTCAGAGCAACAACATATAAAGATGCTATGTCTGGGCCCAACATGGTAGAATGACATCCCAGTCCCTGACCAAATACTACTGGGCTTCCCATGGATTCGAGAGAAAGAAACTTCTCTCTCTCGTTGCTCACAGACAAAACCAACCAAAAACCACCATGCTCAGGAGTGGGTGAGGAGGATTCCCCGTTGAGTGAAGAACAGTTGCAAGCTTGGGAAAGTGCTGAGTAAGCTACCTTGTCCCTTCACACATACTGTCCACAGACAGCCTCACCTGTCCCAGGCAGGAATGGAGGTAATTGGCCTGAGGAAAGGCCTGTCCAATCCTGGTTATCCAGGAGTGACCCCACCCCAGAGGCAGGTGACAACACCAGTGTTCAGGCCAGAAAGCATGACCCAGGAACTGGGGAGAAGGGCTTGGAAGGGCAGGATCAGGGTCCAGACTTGAAATAAAAAAATTGTAGGAGAGAAACCATAACTCAGTCACAATGACAACTGACATTGGTTGTCGGCCAGGAGCCCCCACCCACTGTTTCACAGAACTGCACTGCACAAGGGTAATACATAAGAAAAGAAGGCCAGAGAGGCAAAGCAAACTGCTCAATATCACTAATAGGGAGATGGAAAAAGGGTAGGGGGATGAGTGTGTAGGTGTTCAGTAGGATGGTGGATGGACAGACAGACGGGAGGACACATACATAGATGGGTGGTGTAAGTAGATGGGTGGTGTAAGTAGATGGGTACGTTCATAGTGAATGGATGGATGGAGCGACAGGAGGATAGAAGAATGGTTGGATGGATGGGAAGGTAGGGAAGTTGGATGGCAGGAAATAGATGAATGACTAAATAATGGGAGGATGAGAGGATGAGGATGTGTGAACATGGGTGGCTGTGGGAGAGGATGCATGAGGGAGGTGAAGGAATGGGTGAAGAGTGAGAGAGCAAACTGATGGGAAGATGATGGATTGGTGGGTAGACAAGTTGGATGGGTAGGTGAGCAGATGAACAAAGTATGTGATGGGTTGATGGATTTATGG